TTTCTCAGTTAAAGCTATATTTATGCTTACAATTCACGGCATAAACTATTAATAATTTAACGCAAATGCTCAGATTATTACAATTTAAAATGAAAACAAAGAGCTGGGATGCTTTTGAAAATGAAGTGTATCTACCGTTCACTTCACCTGCCTGTCGATTTTTAGGTTGAACTGAGTTTAACAGAGTGTTCGATAAAAGCACTACTGATGAATTTAGTGAATAAACAAAAAACTTTTGGGGCAGTGTCGAAGGAAGTACTTCAAAACAAGTAATGATTTTTCGGAATACTTATCAATTCCGTGATTTTGCAGAAAAAGATTTGAAGGAATGAAGGGAGTTAAAGGATCAGGGCTGTTTGCGGCAGGTGGATATCTAGTTTACACACATTTTGTGCTTACAATCTGCGGATTGTTTACACTTGTCAACAACTTCCAGAACTGAGCGGCTTTTCCAGCCAGCTCATCAATTTTATGTCTGCATTACAAACACAAGTTCGTTTGCTTTGCAAGCAATCAAAATCCACACAATTGATTATTTTTGCAAGTCCCACCACGAGCTGTAGCAGTATTTATCAAAAGCTTTGAAGCGGAAAAACACCACTACTTTACGGAATTTGAAAAAAAAGTCCGATAACCGAAATATGTCCATTTCATTGTCCAAGCCAGAAGACGTCTGCATATTTCATACCCTTGCTTAAAGATATCACCATTTCCTCATTGTGAAACATTACTAACTTGTGCCCAAAAATTGAAATGTTTTCCAAAACTGCTAAACAGTTCGTTCAAGACAAAGTAATAGAACTCGTTGTTTTATAAGTCGTGAATTGCAAAAGTAAATAATTGGCTGTGAGAGCGCTAAGACTGCGGAATCAGAATTTACGCATTGAATTCAAATTTACAACAGACAATCCAAATCCTTCGTCAAAACTTTAACCAGCACCTTTCGAAACAACTTCAGTACGCTGCTGTCACTGAGAAAACACAACAGTAATAACTAGGCTCGATTAAAAACATATTAGAAAAATTATCAGTGATTTATAAACAAAAAAAAGTTTCCATTGCGGCGGTCCAAACACAGCCTAACATCTGCAGAACTCCTTCCGGCTGGCAATAAACAGATTACGGTGCAATTTC